TGTTAATGGCCTCAATTCACTAATCAAAAGAAATAGACTGGCAGAATGGATTAAGAAGCAAAATCCAGCAATATGCTGTATACAAGAAACACACCTAACTCAAAAAAGAAATTCATAGACTGAAAGTAAAAGAATGGACAACAGTTATCTACGTGACAAAAACCGAGAAAAAAGCAGGGGTAGCAATCTTATTTGCAGAAACAGTAGATTTGAAACCAAAACTAATTAAGAGAGACAAAGATGGTCACTACATCCTTGTGAAGGGAACAATCCAAGAGGAAGAGATGAAAATCCTAAATATATATGCATCAAATACAAATGACCCCAACTATACAAAACAAATATTAACAGACACGAAAAACCAGATAAGCACTAATATAATTGTAGTGGGGCAACCCAATACCCCACTATCACAAATAGACAGATCATCTAGACAAAAATCAAAAACAAAATTCTAGAATTGAAACAAGCTATTGAACAAATGGACTTAATAGATGTTTACAGAGTGTTCCACCTCAAAAAATCTGAATACACATTCTTTTCATCTGTGCACGGGTCATTCTCCAAAATAGACCAGATGCTAGCTCATACGACATGTTAAAATAAATGCAAAAACACTGAAGTTGCCCTCTGTATATTATCAGACCATAGTGCAATAAAATTGTAGATCAATAACATAAGAAACTGCAAAACTCTCACAAATGCATGGAAATTGAATAACACTCTCCTGAACAACAAATGGGTCACAGAGGAAATTAAAGAAGAAATTAGACAGTTTCTACAAGTAAATGATAATGCCAGTGCAACGTAGAGGAATCTATGGGACACAATGAAAGCAGTTCTATAAGGGAAATTCATATCATAGCAGTGAATGCCTATATTAGGAAAACAGAGGGAACTCAAACAACCTAATGCTGAACCTCAAGTTCCTAGAAAATGAAGAACATGACAAACCCAAAACTCATACAAGAGGGGAACTTATAAAGATCAGAGCAGAAATCAATGCAATGGAGACTAAGAGAATGATACAAAAAAATCAATGAATCAAAGAGTCGGGTTTTTTGAAAGAATAAATAAAATCAATAAACCTTTGACCAACCTTCTCCAAAAAAGGGGAAAAAAAGGCTCAAATCCATGCAATTAAGAATGAAAAAGGTGTAGTCACAACAGATCCAGCAGAAATCCAGAGGATTATCAATACCTATTTTGAGAACCTGTACTCTAATAAAATGGAAAACACAGAAGAAATGGACAGATTCCTAGATACATACAAATTGCCAAAG